AAAGGCATTGTGAAAGAGCAAAGAAACACAAGCTGAGAGGTGCTGAGAACTTCTGACTCGATTGGGTCAAAATCAAGAGTGGTGGGATCTCAGAAATTAAAGATGGGAAAGACCTAGTTGATTCTGGAGAAGAAACAGCTGGAAGCACCAGCCTCACGGCTGCAGAGACAGCTGAACAAACAAGGGTCCCAGGTTCTCCCGCGTGTGTTCATGGAGCAGGGCCCACGCTCAGGTAAAGGTGAGAGTGGGGATAAAATAACCAGCTGAAGAGCCTGAGAGACTGAATTGTGAAATCTGTCTTCTGTCTTTGCAGAGGAAGAAAGTGAAGAACTTCCCAGGACAGGTGCCAGCTGCCTTGGTACGGGGTACAGCCCAGTGCAGTGTGGCTGCAACCTCATTCCCTGCTCTCCAGTGAAACACAGAGAGCAGCTCTCTCCAGGGGAGTTTGAAAGTCAGTGGGAGGGCAGTGAGTTCTCTTAGGGGGAGCCAACTATCCAAAGACCCAGCAATGCCCCCAGGAGCGGCGCCAGGGTTTTTGGCGCCCTAGGTGGGGGTCCTTCCGCGCTCCCGGTCTTCGGGACACTTCGGCGGCGGGTCCTGGAGCGAGTGAAGGACCTGCTGCAGAATTGCCGCCAAAGACCCGAAGCGCGGAAGGACCCCCCCGCCGCAGAATTGCTGCCAAAGGCAGCAAAATGCTGCCCCCCGAAATCCTGGTCCCCTAGGCGACCGCCTAGGTCGCCTACATGGAAGCGCCGGCCCTGAATGCCCCTCATTCTCAATGTGTGTCTGGGGGAAGCAATACCTGGCCGGAGCAAATCCAGCAAATGTGTGTCTCAGGGGACATCTACGCTGCCGCTGGCGGTGTACTTTCTGGTTTGGGTCGACACACGCAGGCTAAAAACAGCAGTGTAGCCACGGTGGCACAGGTGGTGTCATGGGGTAGCCCGGGGTCTCAGATAGGATTGTACTCGGGTCGTGAGCTCATGCTGACCCCCGCATTGCTGCGGCTACATGCGAACGTGAGCACAGTTAGGCTGTGTGCATCTATCCAAGCTGGAAATTCCACCTCCAGCTGCAGTGTAGCCAGACCCTACGTCTGCCCACTCTGCCAGTGTGTGAAAGGGGGAATTCCATGGAGGGGAGAAGAACAGGATTTTTAAGAGGTTGCACATTGAAGCTAACTGGGGCGGGGGAAATAATGTTCTGGTTAGTAAGTGGCTGGAGGGCTGCACTGTCCGTCATTCCTCTGGCAGAAGCAAGATTGCCACTAGTGGCACTGGGGTTCTACCACAGCAGCGGGGTGTCCTGAGCCTCTTTTACAAGTAACAACAGCAAGATACCCTTGAATCCGGCCGCCTTTCCTCAGGAGAGGTTCAATGAGCTAGCAAAGATGGGCTGATATTCAACCGGAATGCTCCTTTGCTCAGTTTCATCCCTGACTCCTGCAGTTGGGTCCCTTGCTGCTGATGCCGTCCAGCACTTTAGGTAGTTGTATAATCAGTTCTTTTTTTGGTTGAGATGTTGCGGTGGGAGATCACATGACATTTATTTTCCAGACTGTTCCATGACAGGAGAGACATCAGTATCATTTAGTCCCGTCCCCTGCTTCTGTTCTACCCTCTGCCTCTGCCTCAAACCCAGGCAAGGTGTAAAGAGGGCTAGTGACGAAGGGCTTGTCTCCGCTGCAAAATCAGGATATAACTCCGATGGTGTCACCCTAACTCGAGTTCCACTGACACACACAGCCCCTCACTGGAGCATAACAGGACACCCCATCCAGCCGGCGCTCAAGTCGTACTGGAACGCAGCTCCAGTGCTCTTTTGGGGAGCTATCCCAGCATTCCAGTCCTGTCGCTTGACATACAGAGGGCTGGTTGTCCGTCAGTCTGTGAGCCCATTGTTCTTTCTCACAGTCATTCAGCCAGACAGGCGATACCTGCGCAGAGCCAACCCCTCAGCTGCCAGCGGGATCCACTCATTTTGCCAAGCCTATGTGGAGCGATGGGGATTTATCATTGAAGTCGCCTGTCCTCAGAGCCTGGTGCTCTTGCCAGGTGCCTCCTTGGAGCAGTGATTGACTCACACTTCCCCAGCCTGGAGCCTGCTGCTGCAGAGAGACACCCCCAAGCCCAAGAGCCCATGAGCAGCACTGACCACTGAATCAAGTCCACAGGTGATACAGGCTGGGTGAGCCCTGGCTCGCTCAGAGCTAGTGCAGGTACATCGACCTGGGCGAGCATTCCCCCTGCAGCTCCAATTGCTATGCAGCTGCGCTGCCATTGGAGCTGCAGGGGTAATGATACACAAAGGAGTGATGTGGCCAGCATCACAGCTGACCACCTTTGACTGCCCTAACCTGATGGATCAGGTACCCCTTTTACAGGTGGGTGAACAGGAGGGCACCCTCCCCTTCAGGAGTGTAGCCAAGCACCTTAACCACTCAGCCACTGCACCTTACTGTAAGGGTTGAGCACTTAAAGAAGCGGCTAGGCAATACGTTCCTTTGTACTCTAACCCTTAGTGAACCGTCCACGTCGCTCGACCGCATGGTGAGTAATAGGACAGGTGTGAAGGGTACAGACATCAGGGAGAAAGTGGACTAGTTTAGGGGGGCCCAAAGCGGGTAGATTCAGGAGTAAGGGAATGAAACTGAGCAAATGACAGTGAGGGTAAATAGCAGGAAGTGTTTTGGAATACTGAGTTTTACTAAACTGAGAAAGTTTCCCAGGGAAAGGGCCATTGTCTGAGCTAATTAAAACTGGACCAGTTTAAGCCCTTGAATAGGCCACCGGTCTGAGGAGGGAGGTTCTGGACCAGCCCTCCAAAGTAGTAATGGGGGCAAGAAACCTAACTGGTTCTAAGATGGAGCTTGATAACTGTATAAATGGGATTAGATGATGGGGTTGCCTGTGATAGCAGGGACTGGACTCCATGACCCAGGCAGCCCCTTCCAGCCCTGTTCCTAGACCCAACATGCAGGTCTCTTTCATCTCTGATTTCTGTGCTGTCCTGCAGCGGTGAATTCCACACGCTGGTTAGCGGCTGGGTAAAATGTGCTTCTTTCGATCTGTGGTAAAGGGGTCACGGTTGCATTTTAGTAGGTGTCTCAGTTTAAACCCCAGGTCTCTCTCTCTCTCTCTCTGCACTGCTGCCCTCTCCCAGATTATAAGCACTGTGATTATTCTGTCACTCCAGGTAGGAGATCTAGATTCACAGTCCATGCTGGCTCTCCCATTTGTGCTTATCCGGGCCTATGAATCCATGGGGAATTTGCCTCTCCTGCACATCAGTATTAAGCTCCTGGAAATACTGATCCCTGTTTTCTGTTTGCTGCCTGTTCTCTGCCAGACAGTTTTTATTCACTCCCAGCCTGTTACTTGTTCTGTAGGCCTGTTTTGGACCAGTGCTGGGATGGTGGCATTGGCATTCCTGGTGCTTCCTGCTGCCTGGTGTGTCTGTGAGATCCCCAGCTATCACAGCTCCACTGATTAGTTGATACTTTGCTGTGGGTCAGCCCAGTTTTTATTTCTGTGTAACTCCCCAGAATTCACACTCTCCTCTTGGGTACATGGAGGAGGAGGACCTGCTGCCCACCACTTCCATTATTTGCCTTGTGCTCTCCTTTATCCACAGTGGGTTTCCTCTCCTGGCTTTTATTGCAGTGGGATCACCAGGCTTCCTTCCTGGGATGTCTCAGCCCCCTGTCTGGCTGCATCTGCCCCCAGCTAGCTCCAGGGCCCCAAGCACACTCCTTCCCTTCCCCAGGCTGCCCTTACCTGCCGTTCCAGCTCCCCTTGACCTTCAGGTCTGCTCTTTCCCTTTTATTGTTCATGCCAAACCCACGGCCCGCCATCTTGCTCCATTCCAAACCTCTTGAAAGAAGAACATCTCCTCCCAAAGCTCCCAGCAGTGCAATGAGTTCGATGGGTCTCAGTTCAGTTCCTGGTGGCAGGTGCCTCATCTTGACAGAGAGACAAAGACTCAAAGGGGCCACAGATGCTGAACGCCTCTCTTATCCGCAGAGATGGCCCTGCTCTGGCAAAGGTGGGACACACTGGCAGGGGAAAGTGTGTGTCGGCTGCCTGAGATGCTCCTGTCCTGGAGGCACCATGATTCCCAGCAGATCTGGGGGCAGTTGCAGTCCCTGGGGAGCAGGAGAAGCTGGGTTCTCCTAGGGTTTCTTTATAATCCATCTTCTCCATTGCATTTGATCTCTCACAAATGAGCCTGTAAATTGCTATTTGTTTCCTTGCTTCCCTGCTTTTTGGCTCCTTCAAGGCATTATTGGTGGCAGGTTTTATGGGTTGTTCTGCTAAAGAGGCTGGGGGAGCTCCTGTCAGAGGTGAGTTCAGGGCCCAGGGGAAGCTGTGCTCAGGAGATGACCTAGCGTGCAGGCTGGATGCAGAGCGCATAGGAGAGAAGTGTGCCCGACTGTAAAGTTCACAAGCTGAATGCTACTGAGAGCATTTCTGGGAACGGTGACAATGCTGAGAGCTGGGCTGGGGTTCACCCAGAGGCACATTCTGGGAGCCAGCTGTGGCCAGCTCCATGGAGATGGCAGCTGGCATTCTCGGCTGCCTGAAGTGGTCCTTGTGGGTCACTGGTCTGCCTCCCCCTGACTCCCATGCCCACTGGCAGCAGGAATACCCGGGCTGCTCAGGGCAAGAGTGCTGGTTTGTTATTGTAGGGGTGCTCATGAGTCCTGAGCAGCAGACACTGACTCTCTTCTGGGGAGAAAAGGACTCTGAGGCCTTTATTTTAAGGAGAAACCCGCACGGCATTCCCTGCGCACTGCAGAGAGGTAGGTTTGTGCCCAGTGTCCTTGCCAATGGCCTGTCAAAGAACAGGGGAGGCCTGGTACAGTCTCCACACCAGAGAGGTGCTGGGGCCTCCTGCCAGTGGCTTGGCCCCTGGCGCTCCCCAGCCAGCACAGACTGGGGGGTGTTACACAGTGATGTCTGAGGGGCTGTTCTGACTGCCTTCGTGTCTTCTCTCCTCAGCACAACACTCCTATGACTGTGACCAACCCTGTGAGTACCCAGCCAAACCGCGAGAAGGAATTAGTGAGAGAGCCGGGTCAGGGGCTTATCTGAGCAGGAGCTGCCCCCCCTGCCCTGGAATCGCTCCTGCCTTAGTCCAGAGCCTCAGCCCCCATAGTTGCTCATGACAATATGACCTAAAAGCCGCCCAGCGAGTGCTGCTGGCCTGGCCTACACAGAAGTGGCACCAGAGGAACTGGGCCTGCGCAAGCACATGTGGACAGAGGCAGCTGGTCCACACGTATGGCAGGAGCACAGCCGCAGGGTGGGGGCAGCTCCTTGCCCAGCTCTCTGCCCCAGGGCAGCGGTGTAGGGGCTGCACCTAGCTGAGCCACTGGCCAGGACACAACCAATCCTTGACCAACAGAGCCAGTGACAACCCCCCTCCTGCAGCGCTGGCCTTCCAGGGCCTGGCAGGAATGGAGGTGCCCCCTCCCCCTGAGCCATTCCATCCCCTACCCCAGGCCTGTCAGCCTTTAACCCCAATCTGGGGTTATGACAGCCTCCCCTGGCTCCCCATACTTGGCTGCTGTGGGGAAGGACTGTGGCCTATGAGATTTTGGGCTCTCTTTTCAGGTCGTCCCATTCCAAGTGGCCATCCCAGGGAGTATCGCCCGGACCCGCAAGATCACCATTGTGGGGAACGTGCCTTTCCATGCAAACAGGTGGGTTTCTGATGCAGCCTGGAGGGGAACATGGGGGCCTTGGGCCCATGTGCATGGGCTGGTTTGCACCCACACAAACGCAGCTGATAGGTTACAGCCTGGGATAGGGGTGGGGGTGGGCAGGAGACTCACCAAGCAACAATGCTTTAGAAATGGAGGGAGGGGGTTGCTGCACTCAGCATGTGACAAACAAAACCCTTTGTCTTCATTTGTGAGGCAACCGCTAAGCACCAGGCCCTGCTGGATGCAATCACCCTTCCTCATATTCCTTCTCCACAAGCAGAGTGGACCGGTCACAAGATGCTGATGGCAGATGGGAAAGTCCAGACTGGGATAGGAATTGCCCGGAGCTGGGCATAGGAACTCCTGGTCAAAGTTGTGTAGGCTCCAGTGCCCAGTGGGGTGGGGGTGGGGATGTTGAAGGTGGCCCTGGCTACAGGACACGGGTCTGTCCCACTCTCCAGTGTGCACCATCCTGGTACATTTCTCCCTGCACCCTTGTCATGAAAAGCTCTGACCAAACCCTTTCTCCCTCCTCATAGCTTTCACATCAATCTGAAAAACAGCATGACCGGCAACATCGCCCTGCACATCAACCCACGGCTGAGGGAGAGGGCGCTGGTTCGGAACACCCAAACGCACGGCATGTGGGGCTCAGAGGAGAGGCACCTCTCCACCCTGCCTTTTGCGCCAGGCCAGGCTTTCCAGGTGAGCCTCCAAGGCGGCTGTCTGAGGCACGCATTGGAACATGTTCTCAGCTTCATACTGCAGCTGGGGTGCTGTGCAGTAGGGAATCCGGCCCAGCGGGAATCCACAGAGCCACAGGCCCCTGTGGAACGAAATCCTTCAGAGACATTTCATGCTGAGACTGCATCGGGACCAACAAAATATTTTCCCATCTTCCTCTCCCCTTTGGGGGCCTTGCCACCGGCAGAGTGCGAGAATTTAAGGTTCACCCATTTTGGAGTTGTCCAGACACAGAAACAGTCAAGATCAGTTGCCTACGAATTAGAGATTGGCTCAGTCTGGAGCATGAGGTGTTCTATCCCTGTCAAAACTGTAGTTAGAATTAACTAGTAGAATGCCAGACTTTTATATTTTTTGTGGGGGGAATCTTGTTAATTTATTGGCCTCGATGAAAGCCTGTGGCAGTGAGTCTAACCGTGCCTAATGTGAAAAAGTATTGCCTTAAATTTCATGAAATACCCCCCTATTCTTGTGTTAAGAGACAGGGGTACGCTCTTGTGCTCTGGCTCATTCATTCTTATAGGACCACTTATTATTAAGGTTGTTTGACACTTTCCATTATAAGACCCTGTTTTCAGTTGCTTATAACAGCCTGAAATGCAGGGTGAAATTTCCCAGGCCAGGTATCAGCTTCAGATTGAATCGTTTGGTAAGTTTCAGTAGAAACAGTTCAGCCATTTCCAAGAATGAAGCTAGGAAGAAATAGGTTGTTTTGCTCATGCTCAAGAATTCTTGCAACCACTTTGTGGAGAAGCTCTAGGGCAAGACCCACAAAGGGGACTTAGGCACCGCACTGCTGAGCCCAACGTTTAGGTTCCCTGCTGTCTAGCAGAATCCACAGCCTCAAGTTGGGCATTCAGGGTCCCCATACAGTGCAAGGGGAACGTTAGGTGCCTAAGACCAGGATCCACAAAAGCCAGCAGGCTGAGTGGGAGCTGCCTAAACCAGCCAAGGAGTGGCAGGTGACTAAAGCCCCGCCCCCTCAAAGGGACGTAGGTGTCTCCCTCCGACCCGGATTTAAGTGTCTGTCTGTGCTCGGGATTCTCTGCTGTGACTCTCTCCTGGAGTTGGGCACCTAAGCTGGATCAACTCTTTCTTGGGGGGGGGGGAAATTAGGGGGAGAAGGGGTGTTGACACCACCACCTTCTGTATTCCCTGGCCAGTAGGGCACTCACCCAGGATGTGGGAGATACAGAGTCTGTCTGATTTGAACCCCAATCTCCTACTTCCTAGCCACTGGGCTACAGAGCGTGGGCCACATTCAAGTACTCCTGCTGAAGCTATTCCACCTTGGGGTAATAGGCGTCTATAGGAGAAAAAGCCCCAAATATCAGGACTGTCTCTATAAAATAGGGACATCTGGTCACCCTAGGCCTATAGGGGAAGGGCAATGCCACCTCTTTGCATGGGACCCAATCCAGTACATATGCTCTAAGGCAGCTTGGCCATCAGCTATGGCCCCGCAGGTGAGATAGGTGGGTACTGTCTAGTTTGTGAATCCCGTTGGGTTTAGGCATTAGCCAGGTGTCAGGCCTTGGACAGCTGTGCACACACCCACCCACAGGGATTTAGGTGCCTAGGAGACTACCAGGAGAAACAGAGGCATCCAGAGGATTCAGGGGCCTACAGCCTTTGGCAGCAGCTGAGCAGGGGTTTTGAGGTTCTAAATTTTGGACTTAGGTGCCTAAACTGGCAGTTAGGTGCCTAAATCCCTTTGTGGCTGTAGCCCCTGTGCTTTAGAAATTTGGCTGGGGAGGGGGAAATGTTTATCTAGGGTTACCATACGTCCGGTTTTTCCCAGACATGTCCGGCTTTTTGGTAATCAAACCCCTGTCCGGGGGGAATTTCCAAAAAGCCGAACATGTCCGGGAAAAATACTCCCTGGCTTACCTTAGAGCGGGCGCCGGGGGCTGCTGTGCTCCCTGACTCCTGGGCTCTGTAAGAGCCGAGGAGTTCAGGGAGCACAGCAGCTGCCGGAGCCCGGGAGGGGAAGTGCCCGGCCGGGGGGGCAGGGACCGGAGGCATGGGGGCTATCCGAAGCCGGTAGCGCTCGGGCAGCTCGGTGCTTACAGAGCCCAGGAGTCAGGGAGCATAGCAGCCCCCGGCGCCCGCTCTAAGGTAAGCCAGGGAGTATTTTTCCCGGACATGTTCGGCTTTTTGGAAATTCCCCCCGGACAGGGGTTTGATTACCAAAAAGCCGGACATGTCTGGGAAAAACCG